AAATCTCAATTTCCAAAAATGTACCCTTATGACTGGTTTTGTGGTCCAGGGTCACATATGCCTTTTTTTTGTGCAAGAGACAGTCACATTTAAGTAATTTTAATGAAATCTTGCTTGACAGCCATTGTTTGAAAACATCAAACAGTCATCAAAAGAGCAGCTTGGACATTCTGCTAAACATCTCCCAACGGGTTCCTCAGAAGAAAGTCATAGAAGTTTTGAAAGATATGAGGGTAAATTATGACACAACTTTTTTGTGTGTGTTTGTGTGAACTGTCCCTTTAAAATAAATGGTGTTCACTTACATTTTAAGTTACACTTTATTCAGGTCCATAGTTTTTAAATATATTTGCTTGGTGTTGGTGGTATATTTAGTGCATGTTTTATTGCTGTAAAACCCGTATAGCAGAGTATATACGGAAGCAGGACAGTACAATACCCAGAATGACTGATTCTGAATGTGTCGCAAACAGAAGCATGCCCACTCTTCCCTGTTTTGATACGTTGACTTTGAAAGAATGTCGAAGTTGAATCCATTCCTCAGATCCTAGATGATCCACTTCTCAGCCAGTCAGTAGAAAGAGAAAGAAAGTGCTTTTGGCAACAGCTGTGTAACAGTGCAGGAAGGGTGGGGGAGAATGTCTGCTGTTAATGCTCAGAGGGCATTCTGGGTAAATTGCAGTATTACAAAAATTCAAGGCTCACTTGCATTTTCTTTCCCTTGGCACACTGCGTTCTACACAAGGTGAAAGGTGAATCATAGCAAAGTATGAAAACTGCAGGATTATTTAATTGATCGCTACTTATGGTTTTACTAAAATAGTAGTTTTAAAAGCCGGCAGTTATTTTTATTGCTAATGATGAGTCTCGGAAAATCTTCTAGTTCTTCAGCATCGGAATCAATCTTCAATTTTCCTGACCACGTTATTTTGGGAAGACTGTCTGGGAAAAGCTCAGCCCCCGGGACACATGCTTGTGACACGCAGGATGACCATAGCAACACATTGTGTGGGTGTGTGTGACCGCATCACCCTTATTTTGTCATCTTTTGGACTGCTCCCTCCCTCTTTCATTCCCGCTCTTTCTTTTTCTCTCTCTCTCTCTCTCTCTCTCTCGGTCTCTCTCTCTCTCGGTCTCTACTTGGAAAAAGATTTGCGCAAATGAAAAAAAGTCACATTCTGTGTTTAAGACATAATAAAGATGGTATCCGAGCAACGGACAGGAATAAAAACACATTTCCCTGAGCTCCGCAATAACAAAATGATTCAATTACTGCATAAATACAGCTGTGGGTGTGTGTGTGTGGCTGACAGAGCAAGAGCGGCAGAACTGGTAGGCCTGGCTTTTTCAGGACACTCCAGTGGTCACCGTTTCCCTCATGCTATCACAGCCGCCCTGCCATCAGCCTCTGTCAGATCAAAGATGCTCAGTTCATCTGCCATAATGAAGCCATTCATTAGCCATGTTTATCAATAACATTCTCATCCTTAATGTGCACACAAAATGCAGTCAAAGCGCTCTTCTCAGACTGATTGTAGTAAAAACAGAGCATTCCGTTGGAGCACGTCCAGGCCTAATATGGAAAAAGACTGAGTAGGCAGGAGAGAAAGATAAAGATGGAAAGAGAGAAATGCAATATGCTACTCGGTTCTCCACTAATCGTCTTCATGTTAGTGTTGTAAATACTGCAGCCGTAAGGCACAGGGTTTAAAAATTTATATTTCCAAGTCAGAGCTGTGGTTTAGCCCCATCTGACAGGTTGAGTTGAGGGGTGCTTATGTGGGCGACACAGGTTCAAGTTCTCCTCATTCCTAGGGTTCGGTGGTATGACGGACTGTGTATATATTGTGCAATGTGTCAGCTAGGAGAATTTTTGTTCTAGTGTTTATATTGCAGTAGATGTATTGATGGGCAGGACCATCTTAATTTATGTACACTTTAGCTATACAAAATATAATACAAAATTACCCCAAAAAAAGTCAAGATGAGGACAAACTTTTTAAACTAAATTAATTTTTAAATTGTATTTATATAGCTAATCATTTATAACTGGTCACATTAATACAGAATTCTGACAGGTGTTCATATATTGTCTCTTTTACAGTGACTGTGACCAGTCCAATCAGGATTTAGTTTTAGAGTGTTTTGTTTTTAATTTAATTGTTTCAGAATGTGAAGATGTTATTGTACTGATCCCAGACTTAACCATATCTTTTGGTTTTGGTCATCAATTTTTGCAGTTTTGATGTTCATTTTATTTATTTATTTTTTATTGATATTCATTTTATTGAATTGCATTTTATTGCATTGCAGTGCAGAGTTGGTCCTCCATATCCGTGACTCATGCATGATTCTACTTTGACTCATACAGTGATATATGATTTTGGCCGTGTTCAGGAAACTTGTTTAAAAAATAATCAGTTCTGTTTGGAGTCACTAGTGATGCAGAAATTACACAGTTGCCCAGTTTTGTGTGTCTTTGCCTGGTTTGGGCCTCATTTGACCTGCCTCTGAACTTTTAACGGAAAGGAGAAAATGCCCAACAAATGTTTATTTTTACCAGAGTGGTTGGTGTATTTGCTAGTGCGGAAGCTAGAGCAGTGAAAGGAGCTCTAAAGAGAAGAAAATACATCCACACACGTCTGCAGGGAAACAGGCCCATTTCTAATCCCCCTCTATTCCTGAAATCACTATTTCCTCCTGGCGTTTCCTTCCTGGAAATTTGCGCTGTCAGTGGGTGAAAATTGTGTCCAGACTCCTCTAAGTACTCAAGCCAGAATGTCTGTTTGAATATTTGTTCAATGGACCCAAATTTAGTTGAGAAACTATTTTGGGGCAAACTATTTTGGACATTAACATTAGCTAAGTAAAACGACCTTACCGTTTCTCTAAACACATGAAATTAACCGTGATGAGGGTTTAGCAGTTTTTTTGGACATCATATCTTGTGTCTGTTTGTGCAGCTTGGTTTTCTGGTTTTTGTCAGCCTCGATTTTTCCATATTCATTCTTTTTTTTCTTTCTTTTTTTGTTTTACTGTAAATCTTTGGAAAGTTTACTCCGTAACTGTATCAGTTCCGTCTGAGTCGACTGATTACAGATGTGAGTGTGTACAGTAAGTCTACAGGCCTCTCAACCTCCCATTTACTGAACTCTGTTTGCATTCAGCTTCTCCCCCTACAGACGTTTAAATAACTGGAAATAAAAACATATTATGCCCTGACATATTATGTCCATGTTAAATCTGTTTTTCTTTTTCAGGACATTTCAGCGAGAACACTCTTAAAGGAGGTTTTATAATCTTTCCAATAAAGCTCTGAAGCAGCACAAAGACAGGGCAGTCAGTCAGTTTTGCACACACAAATATGGTTTCTGCACTTTAACGCCGTGCTATCAAAATATTGCACTAAAGCAACCAAATTCTGTGCAAAACATCATTTGTTATTGGATTCAAGTATGTTTGGGACTTTTTTTCTTCCTTTAGATTTCCGTTATTTTCTTCAACACCAACATTCACTGGCAAAATAAATGTAGTAAACAGAAATGCCCCTAAAATCTTAATATAATATTAACTAAAAATATTAATTATATTACATTTTTATTATTAATAATTATAATAGTTTCTTCAGATTTATAGTTGATGCAAGTGAACCTGTATTTAAAATAGTCTGGTTTGTATTTTCTTTTATCTTGCGTACAGGATTTGTGGCCAAAATACCATGTATTTTGCATTTCTATCCTAACCGCACGATTTTATGATTAGTTGCATTTATTGTTTGAATTCAGTATTGTTTTTTTTTGCCTAAGGCTCAATTTTGGCTCTTGACCCATCAGTCGAGGTCTTGTGGTGTTTTGAGGAAGGTGTTTAAGCAGTCTAGCAGTAAATGTTCTGGTGTTTCAGGAGATGGTTTCGGTGGAGCAGCTGTGAGAGTGTAAAAGCTTTCACTGCTGTGAGCTGCAGAACTGGCTTATCGCATGAGATCCACAGCGTGCCGAAGTCACGTCTCATTATGTTCCTTTAAAACCTGCTCACTGCTCGCAGCACAACCAGACCAGGGAGTGCTGTGTTTCTCTTTTTTTTCTTTATTTCTCTCTGTTTGAATTACTGCAGCCAAGCAGCCCTTGGCCATTTCTCCCTCTTTCTCTCTCTCTGTGGTTGCATTATGCCTAAGAAAAAGTGACACGCTGGTAATTATGTCATGCTATATTGATGCCACAGCTGACATCATTCAGCTTGAGCCTGAGTTTCATTACTTTGCCATAAGCACAAAACCCTCCTATTGAACATAAGTTCATTCGCATATGGGGATTTTTTTTGCTGATGATTATCACAGAACTGTAAAGCAGAGCTCTCATTATGACTGTTTTATGCACACACACGCATAAATGGCCACGGTGGTGTGCGCAGAGCTTCGAGTCTTGTTAATGATAATTGATAGATGTGCATGTTTAATGTTTGGTTGGGGTTTAAGTAACATTTATAGCACAGTCTGGTGCTAGTTTAGGCTTTTAGAAATGGTAAAATATGGAAGTAATTAGTCAGACCAAATGAATGCCGCACTAAACGGTTAAGGGACTGCGGTTCACAACGTGCCTGGGAGGTACATCTGTGTGTGTTGTTGTTATTGAAAACTTACCACTGAAAGTGAAAATAGTCAACAAAACATAATTGGATAAATGATGACTGCACTAGGGGCTTCGGCAAAAGTTGGAAACAATGGAGGACTGTGTATGCAATAGAAAGCTCTGTACACAATTAACTGTGAAATATCATGGAGAGTTGTTTTTTTTATTTATAAATCTGGAATTTACATTTTCTCTTTTGGTTAACAACAACGAATGGGAAAAAACGCATTTCAATAAATGCGTCAATAGAGAAAAGAGCCAGGATGATTCATTTCCCCTTTCTACTCGAATTGAACTGCAGACATGGCTTTTGATTGTCAGAAATAGATTTTGAGTAAACACATGAATAACTTGTTTTTTGCTCTTCTCTCCCAGGATGAATTCCATCCGTTCATCGAGGCGCTGCTGCCACATGTGCGTGCCTTCGCCTACACCTGGTTCAACCTGCAGGCCCGTAAGCGCAAGTATTTCAAAAAGCACGAGAAGCGAATGACCAAGGATGAAGAGCGTGCCGTCAAGGATGAGCTCTTGGGCGAGAAACCCGAGGTCAAACAGAAGTGGGCGTCGCGCCTCCTTGCCAAGCTCCGCAAAGATATCCGGCCTGAGTGTCGGGAGGACTTTGTGCTGTCCATCACGGGGAAGAAACCTCCAAGTTGTGTCCTCTCGAACCCAGACCAGAAGGGGAAGATGAGGCGTATTGATTGTCTGCGGCAGGCGGATAAAGTCTGGCGTCTGGACCTGGTGATGGTGATTCTGTTCAAGGGCATCCCGCTGGAGAGCACGGACGGGGAGCGGCTGGTCAAAGGAGGCCTGTGCTCCAATCCCATCCTCTGCGTCCAGCCTCATCACATCACTGTGTCCGTCAAAGAGCTGGACCTCTACCTCGCCTACTTTGTGCAGGAGAGAGGTGAGTTTGCACAGTTGCTATGCTAACAAAGCTTTTGCGTATGTGAACGAATTCTCACCTATTCGGTACGGAGGGAGTGGATGATTCTCAGAACTACGCTGTTGCTGAACCGTAATGGCAGTACTGGGAAGTCGCGTTGTGCAAAGGTACAGAGAAGCCTATGCTTGTGGAGTGGCAGTTTGGCGTGTGGAGTAAAAAGATGCTCTAGCTCATTCTTCTGAGAAAGCTGTTGACTCATCATCCTGTGCTGTTGGTACCAGGAGCTCCAAATTTTGAGTGCAGCTTTTGCTTGCAGGCCTCCGAATGCAGCGTGAAGCACCACGCTTTTTCAAACCAGAACCGCACTGTCAGAATCACCGACATTTAGTTGGTTTTAACCAGAGAGACAGGAAGAAAGGGAGTATAAGACATACGCAGAGCCAACACTGTAAATCATTTAAAATAAGTGGGTCTGCTCTGACAGGCGGGTATATGTGTTTCAATTTACTGGATGTTTGTTGTATAAATGGAGCTATGAAAGCTGTTGGGATACATTCGGGCTGATCTAGCATTTCACTCTGCATTCGTCATTTGTGAACTTGACATTATGCTGTAACTTCTGCTAAAATTTGGCAGCATTTTGCAGGTATTTTCAGGTATTTTAGCAGCATTTTGCAGGTATTTGAAGGACACTCATTAATTTATTAACTTTAACTTTACTTGCATGGATCAAATTGATCAAAGTGACAGTATATACTGTACATCTATAATGTTACAAAAAATTATATTTAAAATAAATGCTGTTCTTTTGAACTTTCTATTCAGCAAATAATCCTGAAAAAACTGTATTGAAAAATTTTCTTTTTCGAAATTCCTAAGGAGAAGCAATGTGTTTTGAGCACTGAATCAGCATATTAGAATGATTTATATATATATGTATATATGTGTGTGTGCATTCTATTTCATTTTAGTTTTTCTCATAAATTTAAGTTTAGGCTACAACTTGGCATGCTGTCGATTAGCACAGAACATAATTTTGACTCATTCTTTAGTTTGTAAAAACAAACTAAAATGCATTTACTGTAATATGCTTATGGTTGAAGCCTGAATAAATATTTAAAACATGCAAACTTCACCCACAGGACTTAACATTATGGCTAATAAACCGTAACCATACGTTCATACACGTAGAAAAATAGTCAGACCTCCGAATGATGATTCAGACAATTTAGTAACCTAAACAACAAACATTTTTACTGTAGATTTCTTAAACTTAACTACAGGTGTCACGTGCTCTCCCTGAGTTTCCGTATGAGTCAACGTTATTTTCTGTGGGAATTAACAACATGCTGCAGAAGCAGTAAATATAACTTTATAAAACTGTTTACTCGTTCAATTCAGATATGATCCTGTAGAAGTGACACCAAGGATGTGCAGTGCTTATAAGTTCAGTTGAGTGGTCAGTGTGTCAGGATGAAGAAGTGTATGTGTGTGTGTGCTCATGTGTTCAGTACAGCAGCAGTTAGGGTGACTCAGCATACTGAGTATTCGTGAATAGTGCTGTAGCATCTCTCTTAAATCCCCCCTGCACTACATTGTGTTCCAGACCTTTTATTCAATTAAATCCCAATCTCAGTGTAGTAGGAATTGTTTATTCTCTTTTTTTAACTGCACTCTACATCTCCTCATGTACAGAAGAGTCTTAAGTGCACCTTAAATATATGCACCAATCAGGCATGTAAATCGAAACGCTTCAAACAGCAGTTATTTCAGCCCTCAAATTTGATTGGTCGAGCAGCATTGATAAACAATCCAACAACACTGGAACTTTTTACCATTTGTGTCACTCCACCTATGTTTGCAGCGTTCCAGACCAGAGTAAACTACTGCTCAAAAGTTTGTAGTCAGTAAGATTTTTTAAAATGTTTTTTAAAAAGTCTCATGTTCACCAAGGCTGCATTTATTGATCAAAAATACAGTAAAAACAGAGATATTATGAAATGTTATTACAATTTAAAATAACTGTTTTCTTTTTTAAATATATTTTGAAATTTCATTTATTTCTGTGGCGCAAAGCTGAATTTTCAGCAGCCATTATTTTAGTCTTCAGTGTCACATGATCCTTCAGAAATCATCATATGCTGATTTAATATGAAACATTTCTTGTTATTATCAATCTTGAAGACAGTTGTGCATACAGTTTCTTTCAGGATTTTTTGATGCATTTATTTGAAATATAAATCCTTATCACTTTTGATCAATTTAATGCATCCTTGCTGAATAAAAGTATTAATTTCATTTAAAAAAATTCTATTCTATTACGACTTTTGAAAAATAGTGTATGTGCAAGGTTTCTCCCACCAGTGACCTGGGAGGAGGAAATGTAACCATTCCACTCAAATATTCTGTTCCACAAAATGTACTTCTTTGGCCTAATTCATGTTTTATTCGTCAACTTTTATTTGTTTATTTGTCTGGTGTATAAAAACAATATCACATCAGCATAAGTGCTGTAGAAGGAAATAAATGCTTGCCAAGCATTTGAAAATTATTTTAGTTCACAGCTGCAGCCTGCCTTTTTCTCTCTGTCTTTTGCTCCCTTACTCATTCGTTCTTTCTTATTTCCGCCCCTTTTGTCTCTCCGCCCCCTCAGGCGACCTTCACCCTCAGTTGTCTGGGTCAGACAGGCAGCCCGCATGTCACCTGACCTGCCTAATAGCCTACAAACTCCTTGCTTTAAACAGTCCGATAAGGAACTGCGTCCATTCGCCCTCACTCCAACTAACGGCAGCACCGCAGAGAGAGAAAGAGAGGAAGCACAAGGAAATTAAAATGGGGAGTGGCCAAGAAAAAGGCTAGAGTGAAAGAGGGCATACAGTCAGCATTTGCCCTTAAAGACACAGGGCCATCTTTCACTTGCAAGGCATGCTCAAATTCCCTTCATCTCAGTGAAGTTGAACAGGACTGGCAGTGTTTCTGCAGTGGCAGCTGTGTGTTAGTGTGTGTGCGATTAAACTTTCAGCTCTGTTACGATATCTTTGCTAATGGAGCAAAGAGCAGGCTGGGGCGGGGGTCAGATTGAGAAACAGTGGCCATTACTCTTACTGCCCTCCTTCTCTCATTCAACAGGCTATTCGCTTCGCAAACGTTACAACCGCAAGTCTCTCGGGGTGAAATGGCTCCCTCGAAAGATGATCAAATTAATTACATTTTTGAAAGATTAGGCAACCAACCTCATTAGAGCTATGCAATTGATCAAATATAGCTCTTCGTTTCGGGCCGTATCGGTTTCCAGTGGGGTCACATGACCTGGCTAGTGCACCAGTCCTCCTCTGATATTTTTTTATAACTCTCAGTCTCTGAAGCTTTTGCTGGGACAATAAATATTATGCTTGTCAAAACAAACAGAATGGTGGTTTGAGCGAACTGGAGCACACGGCTGATTTGGTGGCACTGGAGGCGTCCGTGCCAGATATCAAGCCTTGGTGTCCTGCCATCTGAAGAGGCACTAAAACACATCGGCTCTCTTTCCATTTATTTCACATGTGAGAATGCACTGCAAGTCAGCTGAGCAGGAAGATGCAGCAAACACGCACGTGCTGGACGCACACATGTTCAGTAAACACAGAGGAGCTGGAATGTGCTCCAGTGCTCTGGCAGCGGAAATTTGGGAGGGGTGGGGGAAAGAGGGTCAGCTCAGGTCAAGTTCACAGCGCTGTCAGCCTCCAACAGGGGGAGGTGTTCGGCGTGCTTATCTTCTTAAATAAAGGGCCAGCAGCCTATTAGCAAAGCAGCACATGCTGGGTTATAACAGTTTTATTCAAGAAAATTACTTTTTTATATACAAAATATTTTATATGTATGGGGTGCTTGCAATACTATTGTGGTGAGATATCTTGTAGTCTACAGGTATGTCAGTAATAGTTATTGTTGTAAGTTACATTATAACAATACTGTCAGATATACAGTCCATAAATCTGACATTGTATTGAACATCTGGGATTTATGAATGGATTTAATACTTGAAATATGCTCATTTTTAGCATTTTGACAAAACAAGCCTTTTAACCAAAAAAATAAAGTGTTATGCAAAATTAATAAAATATTTTAGATTCTGCACTATTTCTAGGTTACTAATCATATAAGTAAATATGTGACATTGGTCAAGTGAACTCTCTTTGTACAGATGGTCATGCTGGAGAACATGATCAGCTCTTGTGCTGCTGTCAATAAAGCAAAAGAGGTACAAACCAAATAATAATACATTCTGGTTTTCTTCATATTTTCTCCTGAAAATGTTAATTTAGAAAATTAACATGGAGCAAAGAGCATTTCCACTAGTGCTCTCAGACTTTTGGATTGCTACATAAAGCAAAGATATCATTATACATTAAGACTGACTGTCAAAGGTGCGATTTCCTGACACAAAACAAGATCTGCTCGCTTGTGGTTGATGCTTGCGGGTCTCGAGAAAAAATATCAAAGTGTTCTAACCCCACAGAACTTTCTTTTCACACTTTACTAGTTCTTTAGGTGTTTCGGTGAAAGACCTGCTATTTACATAAATAACTGTTAGCCCAATCCTCTGGCTGCTTTCTGAGCAGTGCTTCCTGAGAGAGAGCACTCTTCCGAAAAGAGTCTGACATGCAGCCTCTCTGTCTGAAGGGAGAAATCCTTGGAGTTGGAATATGTCAATATTCAGTAACATAATGGAGCTTTGACTCCTCTATGAGTTCTGTCATATCAGCTTTTGACAGTGTTATCTTTGCAAAGCTAAACACTTCCGCTGATGCATGAAGCTCCTATTTGATGTCATTGTAGCTCATATTAAAAGCAATATGCCATTTATAAATCATGATGATAATGCAATGGTGTTTGTTCTTTACAGTACCATTTAAAGTTCATGGTACAGTTGTGTACAGTCATTAGTTTACATATACTTCACTCTCAGATAAAAAGGTACAAAAGCGGTCATTGGGGTGGTACCTTTTGTACCTTTTAGGTACTAATATGTACACTTT